CTATTTTTAGTATTCATATTATATATTTATTATGCTATCTTGAATTGAATTAACTTGAATAAAGTTTATTTATTTATTTATTTATTATTCAATTATATGCTTTCAATATTTTTTTAAAGATTTTTATTGTACTTTAATTTTTATTTTTTTATAATGTAATTAAAAAAAACAAATTTATTAAATTAGATGGGAGCTATAACTTCAATCCTTTGTTTTATTTGGGAAACGGGTTTTTTTATGCTTAGATATTATTTTTTATGAAAAACAAAAAAACGCAAGCGTGACGGGGTTCATGATACTGGAATCTTCTTCTTTTCTCAGGTTATAAATTAGCCTGCAGTGTAGCTGGTAATCCTACCTGGTATTTGACTAGAAAAAATAAACGGAGTTAATTTCGCCGAACGTCGACGTGCTGTCACAAAAGAGCCTACCAAGAAAGCAAAAAAATAAATAAAAAAGAAGAAGAAGAAAGCAAAAAACTAGACGTGCAAATGGATCCAAAAGTTCCTGTGATTTCTCCACAAGATATTTTATGCAACAAATCCAATAAGCTCTAAGGATCCAATCCATGGACAAAAGCAACGTTTCTTAATGACGCCTTGGAAATGGTGACAACCACGTGTAAAGACATGAAGCGTCTACACTCCAACGATACCAATCACGTGGCAGACATGACTCCTTCCCTTCCTTTCTCTCGAGATATAATGATAATAGAAAGCCGCCTCCCCACCGACAAGAGTGGTGTTAGAAAGGCCCCCCCTTTTCCATTCTCCACTCATATAAATAAATAAATAAAATTCGAATCCTTTGATTCTGTGAGATTAACTGCTGCTCCTGCTGCTAAAGCTAAAAAGAAGAGTTGGCTCGCAGATATGCTTCATCAATCACTTCCGCTCCTCTGTGATTTCAAAATTGCTGATAACACACTTCTCTCTGTCTCGCATTTCTCAAACAACATCAACAACAACAGTATCGGCTCTTCTCGTGTTCTCGATGTGGGGTCAGAAATCTCCCTCTAACGCTAATTTTTAGTGCAAGTAGAGATATATTAACATTTCAATGTGTTCTTTTAGATTGAAATTCAGTAAACAATCATCCGGCGGCGGAAGCAGTGCGCGAGGATTCTCCAGCAAGGCTGGAGCCAAGACCACTACAGCACCTAATGTTTACGGTCGTCGTGCTCAAGAAAGTGTGCTTGAGCAGGTATAATTAACTAATCATCGTTTTTCACATAATATTCTGGATTATCCAGGTTGGTAAGACCAGTGCTTGTTCTTTGTCTCTGTGATTCTAGGAAGAAGCACCTCAAAAGTTGGGGTTTAAAACATTCCCAGGTCAGGCATTTCCATTTGGTGTTTCACAAGTTGAAAATGGGATCAATTTTGCTATATTTTCGCAGCACGCCACTGCTGTTACACTTTGCTTAACACTCCCTCACAGGTAATATTTCCATCCATCCATCCTTCCTTCCTTCCTGATTGCTTAAAAAGTTACAGGCTTGCGAATCCATATTGATTGACTCGTCTGATCTTTGTTTTTTCTCTTAGTTGCGTTCTGACAAACTTCATGCTTTTTTTGGTAGGGGCGAGTCCGAAAGGACGGATGGTGGAATGATTGAGGTGGCATTGGATCCCAAAGTTAACAAAACTGGAGACATTTGGCACATATGCATTGAGGTAGTGATATTGTCATATTTCTCATAACACTATAATTTAATGGTAGTAGTAGCGGTTATTGTCAAGTTGATCCATGTTCTTTTCCATGCCTGCAATTAATTATCACTTCCATAAATCAGTATTATTTCTATAAGCGCAGGATTTACCACGGGACGACGTGCTTTATGGTTATAAGATAGATGGTCCTCGAGATTGGCGTCAAGGACATCGATTTGATAGCAGCATCATGCTTATTGATCCTTATGCTAAGCTAGTTGAAGGTCGCCGATTTTTTGGTGATGCCAGCCGTAAGCTGTCAAAATTTTATGGAACTTATGACTTTGATAGCTTGCCTTTTGATTGGGGTGATGACTACAAGCCTCCAAATATACCAGAGGTACCAAATGTTGCTTGCATTACTGTGATGTATCGTGTTTTTGTTTCCCATGGTATATTTTTGCTACAAAATGAAATTCGGCAACTGCATGCTCTTCTACTCCCTTTTTCTGACTGATATTGAATGAGTGAATTACTAATTCATTTTGCTGTTTCTCTTATGCTGAATAAGTCTGTTACTAAATGATTTTTACTATTTCTTCTATGCGCCTTCCATGCATTTATTGCGACATTCAGTTGATAATTTGACACACCTGTGTTTGAGTTGCATTTGTCTTCTTCTTCTTCTTTGTTTTTATTTCCTCTCCATTTTTTCTTTTTCATATATTTTCTACTGTGTTTGCAGAAAGATCTTGTTATATATGAAATGAATGTCCGTGCGTTTACAGTTGATAAATCCAGTGGCTTGGATCCAAGTATACGTGGAAGTTACCTTGGCGTAATTGAGAAGGTAATGTTGAACTCAATAGGCAATAATCTACGAATAACATTTGGAAGCTCAATTCATTGCCAGAGGCAATAATGCTTCACTTTGAAGTTTAAAGCAACTATAAATTTTCCACGCGAGTTTTTTTTCTTTTTGTTGCATTTGGATGATGTGTAGTAACTGGAAATTTAGAAAATCCTTTCGTATGCGATGTTTGACTTTCCGATTAATAATTGTTTCCAGTAATCGCTTAGATAGTCAGCTGTTATCATGCTGGAGCTACAATATCGCTAGGTCTCTTGCCTCTTCAATATCCTTTTTTACATTTTCAGTTTCTTTAGTCGGTGATGCTCATAAGAGCTATTCTAAAAGGTAAGGATGAATCTTAGGTTCAATATCCAATAGTGGCAACACTTCCTTAGGAGCAGGAATTGCATAAATCTTAGGTTTAAAATCATGTCTTGATGCTCGTGTAGTCTATATTAGTGGTATTTGATTGCTTGTACTTATCTTGTTCTCCTGACGATAAGTTTTCATTCAATTAAGATCCCACATCTTCTAGAGCTTGGTGTCAATGCAGTGGAGCTGCTGCCTGTGTTTGAATTTGATGAATTTGAGTTTCAGAGGCGCCCAAATCCAAGAGATCACATGGTAAAATAAAACTTTTTGAAATTTGAGCCTTTTCTTTGCAATTTCTGCATTTTGTTGTGAAACCTTGAACTGCTTTGCTTTTTTTGTTTTTCCTTCTTTCCCATTATTTATGTTATTTTTAGGTCTCTAAACAAAGTTCATATTTGAATTAATGAATTGTTATTTTTCTGATTTTAAACAAAGTTCTGTATAGTTGAATTAATGATTTTTTGGACAGTTCCATACACAACATTTTCCTGTTTTGGTACCACTATTTCTAAGCAGATTCAAGATAACTTGCCCTTATACATGTTAAATCAAAATTCAATATTATGACAGAGTACTTATGAGGCTGAGCTTCCCTATTTCCTGTGTTTTTTGTGCTCTTTTTTGATGTACTGAATTTAATGTGAACTATTATTTCTTTTCTCTTTCCTTCCTTTTCTCTAAGATCAATACATGGGGCTATTCAACAATAAATTTCTTTGCTCCAATGATTCGGTATGCTAGTAGAGGTGGTGGACCTCGTAATGCATCTCGGGAGTTCAAGGAAATGGTTAAAGCCTTGCATGGTGCCGGAATTGAGGTAATAAATTGTCATCTGGTCATCAATTTAAGATCACATTCTTCAAAGTTGAGAGCAATGATTTCATTCTTGTTCTGATATGGCAAGTCTGTGATGCATGCACACCAGCATACATGTACATGAAGCCTGAGTGGTTATTGAAGCAATTTTCTGAAGCTTTTTTCTGTATACAGGTTATTTTGGATGTAGTCTATAACCATACAAATGAGGCTGATGACGAAAATCCTTTTACAACTTCATTTCGCGGAATCGATAATAAGGTGATTTACTCTTTGTTTTGCAGTTTCTTGCTGTTAGGGCTGTAATGGACTAACAACAATTTCTAACGTTATGGGCTTTTGAATCATTCAGGCCTGAGAAACACCCATTTCAGTACATTTAGTCACTGGTTGATTGGTTTTGAATATTTTAACAATTGCAATGTTGTGAGTACCTTCACTTTTGTGGAGTCATTCCGGGTTTTAGTGTAATTTTCATTTAGTCTTGTGGAATGCAGCCTGATTTGTATTCAAACTTGTCAGCCTTGTAATATTTCGCTCAAGCTATGATTTCATTACGAGCCTTTAGTGAATGCTCTGGAGTATCTGATTGGTGGTTATACCATGAAAAGTTCATTCTATGCACATCTAAATCTTTCTCTATATAGCATTTCATGCATTATTATTCAGCTATTTCTTCATTTCTCAATGGCATGTCTTGTTATCCATTTACAGGTTTATTACATGGTTGACCTCAACAATAATGGCCAGTTGCTGAATTTCTCTGGATGTGGTATAAACTTTGTGCTCAATTACTTTTTATTCCCTTTTCATTCCCTTTTCTGTCACTTTTTATTCCTAGGTGAATTTTGGCTCTCTTCTTATTGCAAGAGGACGGTTCAGAGAACCAGTTTTTTATGCCTCCATTACCAATCAACATTTCTTCATTTATGATATATCACAAGAGTAGTGGATACTCAAACAAGACAGTTTAAGACTAAGAGGCTAGTAATTTGTTTCGTGTTCAATGAGAATTCTGGGAGATCCCATGATGATCAACTTTTTGAAACATAGCAGGGAGAAAGTAAAATGTTGCTGTTTGGGGTTTTTCAGAGGGTTCAGAACTCTTTTATCTTTTACAAATTTGGAGAAAAGCATAAGTTGACTTAAACGTCACCTCTGCTTCTGCTTCCTTCCACTATGGAAAATTGAAGCTCTTTTTTTTTCCCCCTTTTCCCTAAGCAGTTTGAAACAGAGTTAACAGGGAGAAGACTTTTTTGTTTCTCCCATATGCTGCAATATTTTCCTTGTATTTGAAGGCCCTATAGATTCTCATATTTAGGACCAATGACTATTTTAGTACTAGAAATGACAACATCATCTGAACTTATTTTTGTAGAAGTTACAGAAAATTTTCAATTCCATTGGGCCATCCAAATCCTGTTTGGTTTTATAATGCAGCATGCGGACATGACATTTTCCTGAAAGGCGATCTGGTTAAGATAATTACAGGGTTATTAGGACTTTTGGTATCTCTTTCTGGTTTGGAAGAAATCAGGAATAAGCTCACATGATTGTTAAGCTCAAAGTAACAAGCAAGCAAATGCCTTTTCATTGTGTTTTCTCTGTGAAGAATTTTGAAATTATTGCATGCATCCATGGCTCTTTCACTTGCAGTTTCTTGTTTCTGTCCAGGGAACACATTAAACTGTAATCATCCTGTGGTCATGGAGCTCATCCTAGACAGCTTAAGACACTGGTATGTGCTAAATTAGAATGAAAAAAATCCTTGTCTTTGTGACATTTGAATTAAAAAATTTCATATAGTAATTTGGAAGTTTTCTATTGTTTGGGTATTGCTTCAAACTTGTCAACTTGATCTTATATCCAAATGATATCGCCTCTTAGGTTTAGGTCAGCATATATTCTTTGGTGATCCTTAACTTCGGCAATTTAGGATTGTGTATGTTTTGTTACATCTGTGCCTGTGCATATGCGTATAATTTACTCCTCATCCTTCTCTTTTACTGAATGCAGGGTCATTGAATATCATGTGGATGGATTTAGATTTGACCTTGCCAGTGTACTTTGCCGAGGAGCAGATGGTTCTCCACTTAACGCTCCCCCACTTATTAGGGTGAGATATTTTCACATATGATATTATATTTGTCAAAATAGTGCAGTTACATGCATTACCGATGTCTATCAATTAAAAGAAACAGAGAACACAGTCAGAAGTGAATTGATATTCTGTCAATTCACTTAGAAGACCAGAAATTGGAATGTTACATTGCAGAAGAAGAATGCTTTTTAATTGGAAAAGGCCAGACCTTTCCTTAAGAATGTGATAGGTTCTTAACATGCATTCGGAGTTTAACTAAATTTTATTTCTCCAATTTGGATCTATATAAATTCTTTCTGTGTGTGTGATCATACTGCAAATGGGCACACACAATCAATAAGCTGTACCCCCTTCATGTGATATGTAGTAACTTTCTGCTGTATCCTTTACTAGCATACCTTCACAATGATGTCCGTGCTTCTCTTCCTGGAAGAACTATTTCATGCTGTTATATTAGAAGTTAAAAAAAATAAAAATTATAAATCTTGTAGAATGCTGAAGTGTTGTTTAGTTGCCTAGAACTACATATAGGATGCTTATTTTGTTCCAGGAAAAATAGAGCCTCCATATGCGAATGAATTCATGTGGTCTTTGGCATATATAGTCACAATAGTGAATTTTGTGCAATGACTTTTTATTGTTTTAATTTACCAGGCAATTGCAAAAGATTCCATCCTGTCAAGATGTAAAATTATTGCAGAGCCTTGGGATTGTGGAGGCCTTTATCTGGTTGGAAATTTTCCAAATTGGGACAGGTAACTTTTGTTTATTATTTTTTGTGAATCTTTGGATAATAAAGGCATTTACTTGAAGATGCATTATCAAATAGATAAACACAATCACAGTGATATTTTGCTCTTCTTTTTATCATTTTTACATTTTGTAATGCTTTTAGAATCTGGTTCTACCTCACCCGTGCTTTATTTTATTTTATTTTATTCAGATGGGCTGAATGGAATGGCAAGTACCGTGATGACATAAGAAAATTTATTAAGGTAATGCCAGAGGGAAAGCAAATTGACTTTGATTTCTTCGTAACTTATTAACATTAAGGATAGCTTAACAAGCACGGGATATGGGAACCAGCAAGATAGCAACTCAAACTTTAACTGAAAGTGATGAATGAATGTGTCTTATCCTGAAATGGTTTGATATGCTTGAAAAGGTTTAAAATCGGTTTGAGATGATTTTGATGGAATTAACAGGTATTAGTAGAAACTATTTTAGGAATTACTAGGTATTGCTTGAAACTATTTTATAACACCAATGTTCTAAAACTTCAATGCTTGCAATCACATTCTTGTAGTTTTGTCTCTTCTACTGAATTTTGTCATTTTTTTTTTGTTTATCCTTTGAAAAGAATTATCTTGGCATCCAAATTCATGAAACTTTTACCTCTTCTTTAGCCTTCATTTTTCTTTTTAACTTCCTGTTCTTTTATTACAGCATGCATGTTGTTTACTCTTCCTTTATGCTTCTGTTAGATGACGATGAAGTGTGCTGAACATGATTATGTTTCTTAATGGGAGAAACAAAATGTTCTTGTAGTTTACTTGTGAACGTTTCTGTTTGTCAGTTCGTTTTCCTTTATAATTTCTGCATATTATAGGGTGATTCTGGTATGAAAGGAAGTTTTGCTACCCGGGTTGCTGGATCTGCTGACCTTTACAGAGTAAGCATTTTAATGTCATAAAGATAATGATCTTTGCAATATCTTCAACTTTCATGCATTTATATTGTTTTACCTAGAATAGTGTCATTGCATATTTAAGATTGCCTCATGTTAACAGCAACTCATATTTTTATTTGTGCTGCAGACTAATAAGCGCAAGCCTTGTCATAGTGTTAATTTTGTTATTGCACATGATGGATTCACCCTGCGTGATCTTGTTTCATACAATTTCAAGGTAAGTGAAGCATCAATTTGATTAAGTGAATTATTCAATGTCCAGTTTTTTCTCATTTTCATTGGTTTCATAGCACAATGATGCTAATGGAGAAGGTGGAAATGATGGATGCAATGACAATTTTAGCTGGAATTGTGGATTTGAAGGTAGAGTTGATAATCAGCTTCTATCTGGATTTTTCCTTGAATCATTTCTAGCTTTGGAGTGTTAAATCTTGCAGCTATTAAATAGTGTTTTTGTAGGTGGTAAATCATAGTCATTACCTTGTATGCATGCTAAGGTAAAGGGAAAGTGGGGGCAGGGTCTAATATGCTGTTTTTATTCATGGAAACTTATTGGATTTTTTTGGCTTTGTCAAGTTGCTTCGCTATAAAATTGATGCATTTATTTTAGCCTCCAACTTGGATGTGTTGTTGATCTTGAGATTAACTGTGCGAAATCTCAAGAGTCCAATATATTGTTTCTTTTTTTTTTAGCTCATTTGCTGGAAGAGAATATATTTCAGATGTATTTATTTCCTTTCTTTAGGTGTTAATTTATCTGTATATATTGGGCAGGAGAAACTGATGATCATAATATTAAAGCTTTGCGCTTCCGGCAAATGAAAAACTTCCATTTAGCATTAATGATATCTCAGGTACGGTATGTTCTTGTGTCACGCTGGTGGCACCTCATTACTTACCCTGTAGAGAACAGGCATGCAAAAAATGCCTTGGGAGCTTTTTTCAGTTGGATAAATGGTTTCCAATTCACATGTGATTTCATGTGTCCTGCTTTTCTACTAGGTTTCTATGCATCTTTCATGTCCTCTCTGCTTTTCTGCAAGTTTTTTGTGTCTTTTTATTTCCTCTTCTTTGTCTTTTGCCCAATGAATAATTCTTAGCATTCATAGCTTATCCATCACTACTTAAGAAGTTAAGATATCAGGAGTTCGTTTTAAAGAATGATTATTCACCAGGGAACACCAATGATGCTTATGGGGGACGAATATGGACACACTCGCTATGGAAATAACAACAGTTATGGGCATGACACCTCTATTAACAATTTCCAGTGGGGGCTCGTAAGTTTTTGTAGACAATTCTTGCCCTTTGACAGCTTCAATCCAGTAAATGTCTGAGTGAAAATCCTTTGTTAAGGCAGTTGGATGCAGAGAAGATTAGTCACTTCAGGTTCTTCTCAGAGGTCATAAAGTTTCGACAGACACATGGAGTATTTACTCATGACAATTTTCTCAGCGAAGTAATTTGCTTTTCACCTGCGACTTAATAGACATGCATTTATTTTGAAATTACGATATATTTTAAGAAATTAACACCTATGAAAGATTTTTCAACACGCTTTTCTGTGCATGTTATGCAGAATGATGTGACATGGCATGAGAACAACTGGGAGAATCACGAAAGCAAATTTCTTGCATTTACGTAAGAAATTATACCTGTCTTCCAACTGAATTGTTCATCTTGCATCTGCTGTTTTTTGTTGTAGTACCTTGCTTTGCATCATCAAAATGCTTGTTACGCAGGCTTCATGACAAAAATGGAGGAGATATCTATCTGGCTTTCAATGCTCATGACTATTTTGTTAAAGTTTCAATACCCCCACCACCACCCAAGAGGCGTTGGCTTCGTGTGGTTAGTGTCTCTTCTGTTTCTGACACATATGCCAATGTTCTTGCTGCTACTTGTCGCTGTTTAACTACATCCTTTGCAACTCTTTTGCCTTTATGGTGCAACTGTATCTGTGCATGCGCACTCAAACTGCACATTTCAATGGTGCTAAAGCAATTTTATAATAGGCTTAGATCTCCGAAACCCAACTGATTTTTGGCCTAAGATTTGATTTTTGGATAATCTCATGGAAAAAACTCTACAAAGTTGATAATTATGTTGGTGGCTTCCAACAGGAGGGGTGTTCTTGAGATTGGATTTTATGTAAAGATCCCTCAACTTTTGCTATTAATTTCCCAAGGCAGCCAGTTTATTTCCTGCCTTTTTTTTGGGTAGTCATATAAAAGATTCATATTGTGAGAATAAGTACGACACACGAGCAGGACTCCTATACTGCACTCTTTCCCACACTTTAAACCATGGCTTCTTACAAGAGATGTATTATTGCTCCATTTTTCTGAAAGCTGATATATTCCCTGTTCAATTTATGTTGACGGTTTTAGACATGAAGTTATTTAACGGTGAAAAACAGCCTGTGAAAATCAGTCACATCATTATGTTGATTATACTTAGCAGTTGTATTTTTCAAAATTGTAGCAAATCAATCAGTTCAATCTGAATCATATGTACAAATTCGTTGTTCAAATGCAGGTAGACACCAATTTTGAATCTCCGGATGACTTTGTTCCTCAAGGTCTCCCAGGCATTGGAAGCACCTATAATGTGGCTCCATACTCTTCAATTCTTCTTGAAGCTAAAAACTGACAGAACCTGAAGCTGATCACCGATGAATATTCTGAATGACCTGCCTGGTCTGGAGAATCGCAAAATCTTCCCTGGGAAATGCTCAGATTCATGGCATCAGGTTATGGTTACAGTACTTGATGTAGATGTCACTTTACCCTGGATGAATGCAATCAAAGAGATTTGAGAGAGCATGGAGGTTTATCATTGCTACAATGTGACTAATGCCCGCTCATTCCTTTGTTGCATCAACTAATAAAAAATACTCAACTTGAGCAACAAGTAGAATATGCCCTACTCGATGTAGGTGCTGCTGTGTGCATGTTATGCATGAGCTGTGTAATACTGAGATGAACTCTGGGGTCCTACAGCTGGTAATTCCTAAATAGAGTAGAAAGAATGTCGAAAGATTACTAAAAAATAATACACTGATAGTAATAATTACGATGATAATGTTAATTATAATTATTTTTTGGCATTCTTCCAATCGATTTCGTGCTGCTGCCCATTAGACACCCACCAGCAGCAGCAAACGCTGGCTGGCAACTGATGTTCCCTAATACCTACTTTGTTTTTTTAATGCTTTTGTTTCAGTAGCATGCCAAAAATGACAATCTGCCTGGCAGATTAATAATTTTGTAGCATGTGCACAGCGGTCTTAATCATGGGGTCTGTGTGAAGAACAGATCTTGTAGTGAGCAGGTGCATGAATCGAGAAGCCTCAAAAGTACAATCTGGCAGTGACCCACACAAATTGTGACAGTCTGGCAGGCAGACAGGACAATCCAATAATGAATGATGCGTCCTCTCTTCCCTCAAGCAAAATATCTTTGTTATTGTACCCTCGAAGAAACAGAACCATTCTTCCGTCCTGGCTAGCACGCGGTGATATTACCTCTTCCATTCTACCACCCGGAAAACAGCTACCTCGCTTCGTATCATTTAGTCCAGTTTGGTAGGCGGTCGACCTGTCGCTGTATATCGTCCTTTCAAGCCCCCTTAGATTAGAGTCCTGAACAAGAATTAACTTGACATCCTCAGCGAATCGAAAAGTTGTCTGTCTGAGTGTTGGGAGATGCCATGCTCTGACAAGGTCCATGTCCCATTGATCGGTGGACAAGTCTGGGCCAATGGGATCATCAACAATGATCACGGTACAGGCACCCTGTGTCTATGGTTTCTCTTCCACAATCTGCCAATTTTATGATTTATCTCATCAGTGACTTCGAGTGTTTCTGCGAATAACATCTGGTTTTGATTTAAAGTGAGGGTCCATGTAAATCACATGATTAAAAAGAGTAGAAGGCATCAGATCTAAGCCTGGAGCGGGGTTGACTTTTTTGTTGTTTTTACAGAAAGACCAACTCAAATCGCGGCTATAATATACGACCATGACAAACAAATATGAAAATATCAAATATGAAACTCGAATAGATTTATTACTCGTTGACCGTGAAAGTCTTAAAAAAGTGCCCTATCGCTAACATTCATCTGTAATTAGTTTTTCTCCTACTATCTGGAGTTGACCAAGTTAACACTTGGTAATTTTTTTTCTTTAATTTTCTTTATTTTTTTAATTATAGTTTCTTTTTATGTTATAAATTTTTTTCTTCATTTTCATTCCTTAATATTAAACTTTATAATTTTTTTATTTGTCGTGTTTCTGATCTAATAATACAAATCACAAGTTTTAAGAGTTAATACGGGTAAGCATTCTTATTTTTTCTTATAATTTTATCATTTTGCAATATTTTTTTTAAGATTGATTTTGCAGTTATTTTTAATTTTTTTCTATCGATTTATCCTAATCTCATGGTTCAGGCCACGAGTTACCTAGTTTTTTTTTTTAATTGAGGTCTTCTTTTATGAAAAATATTTTGTTTTATGTTTAATTTTTGAAGATTTTTTTTTATTTTGTACAAATAAGATTTATTTTATACAAAATATTTATTTTAAAATAATATATCTTATATGTTAGGCTTTTCATAGTATTTTTTTTCTTTTATTTTACTCATTCACTTTCATGTGTATTTCTATTTTTATTATTTTTTATTTATTTTAATAAATAAATTTGA